TTTCAACCAAAACATATAGCCATGTATTTAAAAAATAAATATGCTTATGCACCAGTGCCTATACACCACTTTCATTATATTATATACAATAAGGAAGAGGGAAGGGGAAATGAAAGAAGAGAGAAACTTCTACAGTTGTATTCAGAATATAGTGGCAATAAGTTGAAACTTTCTAACTGAAATGTCTTTTTATTCTTGAGCAATAGAGTTCTGTAATAAAACAGGGATGCTCTCATTTTTTGAAGTCAAGTAGGATACTCCATACTGCTTGCTACCAAAACACCTCAATGATATCTGTACTGTATAGCCAAATCTCTTTTATTGATTGTCCTTCAAATCAGTAAAATCTGTTTTATTGATTGGCTGTCCTTCAAATGGGTGACTGTCCTTCAAATGGGAATCTGATTGCCTCATGACAAAGTGTCATTCACGATAGACTTTCATTAGTTTATTAAGTGGTTTGTGCCTAGATTTCAAACCTGAGGACAATTCTGCCACATCACCTTCATTAAGAAGAATATGACTGTTGATCTCTGTCTGACTCATGGTAAGGTCTGGTATCTCCTTAACTGAGCACCACAAAAAAGGCACCACATCAAATAATGATACAAGCAAGTACCAGGAGAAGCAAAGCACTCATTGCTTTTCATAGCTGAATTAACATTCCTCAGAATGGAATGTATATTTTATTTATTCATCAGTTGATAGACATTCAGACTGTTTTCACTTTTTACTACTGTGAATACTGATGCTATGAAAATATGCATATACATATTTTAGGAATCTTTTTTCAGTTTTATTAGTGATTTTATCTGTGCTGCTGGTCCATAAGAAAATCTATGGTGATTTTTTTTCAAACCAGCAAAGTCATTTTACTTTTGCATCATCAATATATGAGGACTCTAATTCTTCCACATCCTTATCAACTCTTTTCCATTATGTGTCTTTCAATAGCAATTAACCTATCTGCTATTGTATAGAGTGAATATATAATGGTGTCTCCTTATGATTTTGATTTGCATTTTCTTGGTAGCTAATGCTATTGAGTGCATTTTTTGATCATCTTCAGAAAAACACCTATCCAGGTTCATTGCGTTTTTTTTTTCCCTTTTGATTTTGGGTCACACCAGGCTGTTTTCAGGGATTACACTTGGCTCTGTGCTCAGAAATAATTTTTGGTGGTACTTGAGGGACCATATGCAAGTGCCAGGAATTGAACTAAGTTTGATCCATGAAAGATAAAATGCCTGAACTCCAATACTATTTCCCTATCCCCTTTTTTCTACTTTTTGATGGTGCTCTTCAAAAATACAAATTTTTTTCTAATTTTTAATGCAATTATGTCCTATTTATATACTTTTCTTTTTTGTTACTTATGTGTTTAGTATCAGACTTAGCAAACTGTTGCTAAACATAAGATCATAAATCATGAGTACATATATCAATGTTAAGTTTTAAAAGTCTTAACTTGTGGCTAAAGAATTTTAAAATATTTGTACAGAATATAAAGAATTTTAAAATATTTGTTGAGGCAGTAGTCTGCAAAAATATTTGGGGGCATGAAGGTGGGTTGCACTGGCTGTGCTCAGTGCTTACTCCTGGCTCAGCACTCAGGGAACACTCAACCATATGCAGTGCTGATGAATAAACCAGGTTGGCAGCATGCAAGACAAGTGCCTTATCTCCTATACTATCTCTCTGTTTTAGCAAGCATTTTAAATTTTTTATTTTATTTATTTATATATTTTTGCTTTTTGGGTCACACCCAGTGATGCTTAGGTATTACACTTTGCTCTGAAGTCAGAAATCACTCCTGTTGGGGCACAGGGGAGAATATGAGACATGGGATACAGGGGCTCAAACCCAGGTTGGCCACGTGCAAGGCAAATGCCCTACCTGTTGTACTATGGCTCCAGCCTCCAGCAAGCACTTTTTAATGATGTTTATTTTTTCCATATACACAATGAAAAAAATAAACAAATTCATATTAAAATTCCTTGTTTTTTTAAAAAAATTGATAATTTATCTCTAGTATTCTTTTCTATAATTTAGGGGGAAAATTATAAACTCATTCTTTTTCACTTGTGACAGCTAAGAAATTCTTGAGTCTCATTTTGTATTTTAACTGCTATTAATATCAAAAGAGTAAACATCTCTTCTAGTACAACTTTTTGTCATAATGAACAAATGTAGTACAACTGCCATGTAGCAAACAAACCAGACAGTTAGCTGTATCTCTATTTTATATTTTCCCTATTATTTCAAACTCTTACCAGAATATTTTCCATCTTACTTCAAATGTGATATTTGTGCTTATTAGCTTAACTTTCCTAATTGTTAGGGAGTAGGGAGATACCAACTCCAAGCTAATTAATTCTGTTTCTATCTTACTTCTCTTTGTCTAAGTCTTCCCAGCAACCTATCAAAAACAATTCTCTTCATCAGGAATTCTATTTTGATTCTGCCAACTTTCAAACTCTAGTTACTTCCCAGTAACACCCCAGTCACTAAACCATGAAACCTTTCAAGGATTTTTACCAATTGCTCACCAAGACATCCTTTACTTTAACAGAAAGATCACATTAATTTCCCAAGATATTTGGAGCCATCGATATATATACTCCAAGAAGACTCATTGTATTTGTGTCCCCCACCTCCTCCAGCCAATCTCATCTTGGAGTTTCACTGATTAGTACTTTCAAGCTTGCCTGTCTTAGTTCATGTAGCTCCTCCTTCTGTATTGGGGTAAACACTTGTATTACCATGTTCAAGGACGTCATTACTCCTTATCTGTGAAGTGTAGAACAAGAAGAAATCACTTGATTCAGATACTCTCAAGATTCCTAGAGGATTAGAGATCATTTCTCATTGTTCTACAAGCACTTATGTCAGGGAGCATCCAGACAAAAGGTAAGGTATAACTATTCTTTCCAATAATCTCCCTGTATTTTATCACCCTCAGCTTCCAAATATATGGCTAGAGATTTTACTTATAATTAAGAAATGGATTTGATTTAAAAAAATAAAGTTTTTTTTAAAAAAAGGCTGTCATTTTTTAACATTTTTTTTTAAAAAAAGTAACCTTTAAAAAATAATTCTAAATTTTAAAGGAACTCCTTCCTTCCTTTCGTGGAAACTAAAGGACTACTAAATTCATATTTAAATACACAAACATGTTTCTTTGTGTAACTTATAAGTCATATTTCTATCTGGATAATGGATATTCATATTCTTACAATAATATTTAAAAGAGCTGAATCATTTCCTTTTTTTAAGTAAAAAGGATGTTTAACACCTAAGAACAAAACAAAAACATTTTCCTTTAAATATTTAAACTACTCATTCTAAAATTAATCTATTCAAAAATCATTTCTCTCTCAATTATCTAAACTAAAAACATCAACCACATAATAATATTATTATTAATGTTTTTGTTTCTATCAAAAGAGGTAATCAAAACTAGAATGCAATATTGTTACTATGTAGAAGATTATTATTTAAATTAATCTGGGCTTTAATATGTAGAGATTTTATGTTTCATCTATGAGAGTTTAACACTTTTTTTCCAAGTCTCAGTATCCTCAATATTTAGTGTCTTTTATAATTAAACTTACTTGCCAGTGATGAAACAAATGTTTCATTTCATAGGGCTCATTTCAAATGTCTAGAATTTATCATCATCTCACCATAATCTCTAGAAACAGCCTGAGCAATATAATGCTTCTAAAGAGTTCAAAAAATTCTTATCAGATTTACTTTTTCCAAATTTAGTTATTTTAGTTAAAAGTCTAACTTGATTGTATCTGTGCTCATGATCATATCTGTATTTACCAAGATGTTTTCTCTTTTATTGCCTAAAAACAAAGAGGTACCTAGAAATGCTTTTGTTTATACTTGCTAATTAAGCTAAAACAGATATTATAATAAATGTTCAGATTTTCTGAAAATCCAAAGTATCAAATACTGCATCAAAACATGGAAATTAAGATATCAGATATGATTTCTTTGTATCTATGCCAAATTTTCTGTATCAAAATTATTTTTTAAGTTTTTACATTGCTTCTCTTTCATAAATTTAATAAGTGAGGCAGAAATAAGCATGGTAAATTAGAAACACATAAGACGATGCAATTCAATTGACTTTTCATAAAGAAATGTTACCTAATTTGATTACTATTAATTACACAATTACACAAAAGTATTTAAAACAGGAAAGGTAGTATAGCAACTGAAGAACTTAATTATAATTTGTATTTAATATTAATTTTCATTTATAAAGTGCTATATGGGTACTTCTAGGATACTACATTAAAGAGTATATGTCCAAGGTATTTAAATTACCATTTTCACTTGAAATGCTTTCAAAACAAGAATTAGTTAAAAAAATTTTATAACAATAAATTAGTAGATCAGAGTTAATAGGACTGATTGCTTTCTTAATAGGAACTTTTTTCTATTGTCACAGATTTAAAAAGTCCTATTCTTCACATGACATATTGTGTCAGTTCTTGTTTATATAAAGCAGAAAAACAACATTGGTACAGACTGCCCTAAAAAGACATTTAAGGCACTGGTAATTATAAATTAGGGAAGTAGATTCACTTAAAGTATGTATGAGTAAAGAGAATAAATTCTTGTGGTGTGAAAATAGGTAGAATGCTATTGGAATTTCATAGTAATGTTTTGGCTTTTTTCAATTGGTCAAGGAAAATCTGTGAAGAAAATAAATTTTAATTGTTGAAATATTTGGATTATAAATAATTCAGGAATAAGATATCATAGGCATAACATGAAGCATGAAATGATAAATCAAGATAAATGCATGTTTAGTTAACAAATTATATTTTCCTGAGAAGACAGTGGATTTATGTGAGCAGTATAAAAGGGAGGAAATAAAATAATTGATGACTTTAGAAATGAAGTGAGTCTTCATTCTATTCTTATTTCTAAGTCTTTATCTGACTTTCAAATATATACTTGAAAATAAAAGTCTTTTAAACCTGGTTGTCTTGAAGTCTCTAAGAGCTGTAGAGATGTATTCAGATAAATGTTTCTCCATGAGTGCTACTCTGATCCAGGCTCTACCCTAAAAAGAAAAATAGAAATAAATACTTTAAATTAGAATTAAAACTATTTCCCAAAGTATTAAAATTTTTTTTCTCCACCCCATATGGGACTCAAACCCACAATCCCCAGCTTAAGAGGCTAGTGCCTTATCCATTAGGCCATTGGGGCTTCATGTGCTACAGTGCTTAAAAATTTAAGCATTTTAATATATAAGGATAACCCATCCAAAATATACTATATATTAAGATATTAAAAACATGATATATAAATATATATTTATTACACATAGTAGATATTTTTTAAAGTATTTGTAGAGAATGAATCATAACATACAAGACATAATACTCCAATGTCCCAAGTCAGCATGCTAATAAAAATTTAATCTCTTATAAAACACGAGGGGAGAAAAGGTGCATTTTTATTAATAAAAATTGACCACTCTGAGGTTAGGGAGATAGCTCAAAGAACTGGAGCATGTGTCTGGCATGCGCGTTCAATCCTCAGTAGTGCTTCATCCTGCCAAGCAGTGCAGTGTGGACCTTGAAGATTTCCCCCCCACACACCCCCTAATTCTGCTAGGGTCCGGTAGCACAGATGGACCCTGTACTTCTTGAATACTTTGTAGCATCCCTTCCACAAAAAATAATCACTCTGAGCTGGAGAGATAGTACAGTTAGAAGGGTGCTTGCCTTGCACCCAACCAACCAGAGTTCAGTCCCCAGAACCATACACAGAGCCAGGAGTATGTCTTGAGCAGTACCTGGTGTGGCCCCCAAAATACCTTTTTTAAAGGTAAACTGTAAATATGTAGAAAGAATCATTATTTAGAAAGGTTTAAAGCTCTAATACACCAAACTCTGACAGGAAGGATCAAAAAGTAGTCAATCTCAGGCAATGGTCAGTCAACCAGGGCGTTGTTACTGGGAAAAAGCAGTATTATTACTGGAAGGAAGTAGCATTAATGCTGGGAAATTACAGAAAGACATGGTTGCATACAGCAAGCCAGTTAATGTACCTAGCAAACTCAGTTCTCCTTTTTACCCTGCCTATGGCTTAACTCATTATTCTTCCCAAGCAAGCTCAGAGAAAACTATAATTACCTGATAAGAATAAAAAGAAGAGACAAGCAGTTGTTCAGTAATCTCAAGATTCTCTCTGATCTGGCTAAAAACTCCGAGGACTCCCAAGTCCTGGATTGAATCAAATGCTACAATTTCACCAATGCAGAAACGGAAAACTGTTCTCCAGAGAAAGTGAGACACAAGTGCCTGTTATGGCAAGATAAGAAACGTGTGGAGGAACAGAGAGATAGTTCAGCCTGCAGGGTGCTTGCTGGTATGATGCCAACCTGGGTTGGATCCCTGATACATCATATGGTTCCTTGAGCACCCCCTGAGCACATATCCCTGAGCACAGAGCCAAGATTAAACACTGCAGGGTATGGCTTCTAAATAAAAATCAAAGAAATGCGGGGAGAGTCCTGTTCTTTGGTTTAGTAATTTTAATCTGCACAAAACTGGGCTGCACCTATTCTTCCTGTCCTTGTATATTTGTGGACGTCTCTGTTATACTGTGATAATAAATTGGGCCAATTTTTAATGGTTTCTTTTGTTTCAACAAAAGACCTTACACTAGAACAGAAGACAAACAACTTATAAAGGTGGTTGAGATCATTAAATAGGAAAATAGCAAACTACATTTGAAATATTTAGGCTGTCTCAATTAGATAACTGTGAATTAATGAGTTTTTTTGGGGGGAAATTATCAACACTTCTTAGGAAAGTTATTAAAAGAGGTTGTAGAGATGGTACAGTGGGTAAGATGCTTGCCTTGAACATAATGGACCTGAGTTTAATCTCTAGCACTCTATATGGTCCCCCAAGACTGCCAGGAGTGATTCCTGAGTACAGAACCAGGGAGGAAGCCCAGAGCACAGTCAAGTGTGGCCCCCAATTTTTTAAAGTTATTAACACATGCTTGGCTCTGTTTTAATAGTTTAAAATACGCTACATTCTTAATCCTCCAAAGAATTATGCAAGCTAGGTCACAATATTATTTCTACATTAATATAGAGGGAAACAAAAATAGACACAATTAGAAGACAAGAAACTCATCTTCTCACCAGCTGCCCAGTCCAACCTATTATTTAATACTCATGGGCTTTACTTCCCCTCATGTTTCAAGGATAAACTATAATTACTTAAGAAAAAAGAATGAACAAAAATTTAACATTATACACAAGAGCTTTCATTCATAAAAGTTGAAAGAACATGATAAATATATAAGCACTGTAGCACTGTCCTCCCATTGTTCATCGATTTGCTCGAGCATGCCAAGTAACGTCTCCATTGTGAGACTTGTTGTTACTGTGTTTGGCATATCGAATACAACATGGGAAGCTTGCCAGGCTTTCCCGTGAGGGCGAGATAATCTCGGTAGCTTGCTGGGCTACCGACTGATAGAGGGGCAGAGGAATTGAACCTGGGCCGACCAGATCGGCCACGTGCAAGGCAAACGCCCCACCCGCTGTGCTATTACTCTAGCCCATTTATGTAACATCTCTAAAATCAGCTTTATCACTGCATTCATCTCCTCACACTTGAAGGAGTTTGTTTCAATCCCAGTGTTTACTTTCAGACTTAAAATTCCCCCTGACTCTCATGTAACAATGGAAGCCCAATAGCATAGATCACATCGTTTCTCTAGCACTCGAGAAAGGCTCCGGCAGAGATTCAAGTGTTCACAGAAGACACCTATGAAGCAAAAGTTCCAAACTACTGACTTCAGACTGCTGGATCAGACAGTCTGAGAGGAAATTTTGTCGAAGTTTATCTACAAATCATATGTAAGGTGTTCTTTCCCTCCTAATAAGACAAAAGTCTAGAGCAAAGTTCCCAAACTTACTTGGCATAAGTAAAAATAATGGTTAAAAAAAAAAGACCCCAAATCCCATCTGTCTTCTTCCAGTGAATAAACAGAAAGCAGCTCCAGTTGCACCTGAGGCTCCTATCACCCTCCTGAATCATGTCAGCAGCCCTCATGGGGGCAGTTATCATTTTGGGGAACAATGGTCTAAACAAATGTTTTTTACAACAGAAAACCCCATCTCAGCCACTAAAACACTACTGCAATAATTCACGCAGGGGGGTTACAACCACAAATCAGTACCTTATAGGAGTGCGACTCATAATAGACGCTGAATATGTTTCTATTGAGCCAGTGGCATAGAACAAAGAGTTTAACAGAGGCTCCCAAACTTCTTTTGGCCTACCACCACTTTTCAAAAAATATAAAAACAAAAATCACTCAGTGGCTCCTAGAAATCTACCTCCTTTGAGCAAACAGAGAGACAGCACCACTCCTCCTCACAGCTATGCCCCAAGCTACTACCATACAACAGCTCACCTAGTATTCCAGACCACCCTCGGAGGGCAGAGGGCATACTGTCCACTTTGTGTAACACTGCTTTCAACTCAAACTTAATTTTAAAACAATCCTGCAAGGGTAAAATTTTGAACTACAGATTAAATTGCTTATGTTAGATATCAGAATGTAATCTTTCCCCTTTCGAGTTAGTTTTTAATTGATGTGTTTCAAGTAACTTATCCATTCCATCTAAATTTTTATGTGTCAAGTTACTGATAATCTCAGAATTTTTAATATTTATACAGCTGGAAGCACAGTGGGTAGGGCATTTCCCTCGCATGCAGCCGATCCAGGTTCCATTCTTCCGTCCCTCTCAGAGAGCCCGGCAAGCTACTGAGAGTATCCTGCCCGCATGGCAGAGCCTGGCAAACTCCCCATGGCATATTCAATATGCCAAAAACAGTAACAACAAGTCTCGCAATGGAGACGTTACTGGTGCCTGCTCGTGAAATCGATGAACAATGGAAGGACAGTGCTACAGTGCAACTATAGAGCTTATATGGCTTCCCTTTTTTTGTTTCTGATATTGGTCATTCTTAATCCTTTTAAAATTTCTTGAACAGTTGTGCTAAAAGTTATCAACTGGATTAATTTTGTTAAACCCAACAGCTTTTGATTTCAATTTTTTTAAATTATTTTGTAGCTGTCTCAATTTCACTGAAGGTTATTTTCCTCTGTATTTTGGGCTTAATAGCTTAAGACAAAATGTTTTTAGCTTTTATTTATCTACTTAGTTATATTTTAATACACAAAATAAACAACCTATTTTCCTCTAAGCATTTTATATTCTCATATCACTTAATCACTTGATCACTTGACATCTCGTTACTCATCGATTTGCTTGAATGGGTACCAGTAACGTCTCCATTCGTCCCTGTCGTGTGCTAGTGTAGCCCAATGGTATCTGCTCGTTCTAGGAACATGAAGAGCCTCAAACCGATCGTTCAGGGTCTTGACAAAGAAGTCTGAACATCTCATAGGTGGGCGGCCACGCAATGTTTTGACATCCTGTGGAATCCAGCCAGTAACGGCTCTAGTCCAGCAGTCATCTCCTAATCTCATTACGTGTCCAGCCCATCTGATTTTCGATGTCTTGGAAAACGAGACAGCGTCCCTGATTCTTTTTTTTTTTAATGTATACATTTTTTTTTTATTAGTGAGACATCATGAGGTACAGTATGTCCCTGATTCTTGACCACCAATGGAGGTCAGAACTCCGGATTCTTTCTCTCATTTGAGTGAATCAGGTTACTCCAAGCATAGCTCTTTCGATTCTTGGGAGACCCGAATAGCGTTCTCATCCTGTTTTCGTAGGGCCCAGGTCTCTGAGGTGTTTGCTAATGCAGAAACAACAGTGGAATTGAAGAGATGTGCCTGGAGCTGGAGGTTCGTCATCCTCTTAGCTATTTCTTCAATGCTCTTGAAGGTGTTCCAAGCCACTCTCTTCCTCCTGCGCAACTCAGGTGCCAGGTCATTCGTCATGTTGACTTCTTGACCTAGGTACACATAACTGTTGCATTCAGAGATGTTCGTTCCATTGAGAGCGAATGGAATGTCAGGAATGAAACTGTTTCTCATAAACACTGTCTTCGT